TCTGTGCATCACAGGGGTATAGTGAGGTAGGTGCTAACCAGTGACCCGTAGCAGGTACTCGGAGACTCGCACATACCTGCCCATCCTCCATCTCCCCTGCCTGTGCCCTCTTGGCAAATCCCACATGTGAAATTTCCTCCCGGGATGCAAGTCCAGGCAAGCTCTCCTCTGTGTTGCCTGTTTCTAGTGGCAGGCTCCCTCCTCCACACCAAGACAAGTCCTCACCAGCTTCTCTCCCCCAAGGAAAAGGATCTCAGGTGTGCTGGCCAAGCCTTGCCTGCTTGCCTCCCTGGCTGCTGTCTGACTACATAGCTGTGGGGAGAGAGTGCCAGGGCCTGGCCCCAGCCATCACCCCGGGATCCCTTAGCTTGGCCTCCTTGGATTAGGAAAGGTAGGAGGGAACCCCAAGAAAGAGAACGCTTCCAGACACCTCTGATGGGGACCCCCAAAAGGCAGTTGAGTACTTAAGAGGGTGGGTTCCAAAGCTCTACTATTTACAGTGTAAATTGGGTCCAGTTACCTAAACTCTCTATGCCTCAGTTTCCTCTTTGGAACATGGGAATAACTGTCCCAAAGTTGTAAGGGTGACTATACAGATGTTGGCTGTTGTGTCCCTGTGTAGACCGAAATGCGGTGTGCTGGGGGGTCAGACGCTGGATTCCTTTTTTTCAGGACTGATGATTAAACCCAGGGCCTTTGCTTTGAGCTATTATTCCCAGTCCTAGGTTTTTTGTTATTTATTTATTTTTGGTATGGGGTATCGAACTTGGGACCTTGTGCTTGCAAGGCAAGTGGCAGAACCACTGAGCTAAGTCCCTGGCCCTGTTTGTTTATTATTTTGAGACAAGGTCTAGCTTGGAGGATTGCAAGTTCAAATTCAGCCTGGACAACTTAGTGAGTTAGTGAGATTTTATCTCAAAATTTAAAAATTTTAAAAAGGGCCGAGGATGTAGCTCAGTGCAAAGGCCCTGGGTTCAGTCCCCAGTTGAGGGTCGGTGTCTACAACAAACCCTCCCCTCCTTGAAAGCAAACTGATTTGCCATGTGACGTTGTCATCCCTCCTGACACGAGGTAGGGTCTTTTTATCCACCCTTTAACTCTGGATTGCCTTCATGGCTTTCTTTGCCCAGTGGGATGTGGCAGAAGGGTCTGGTACATCTTCTGAGACCTGCTCTCAAGTGGCTTGGCAGTCTCTGCTCTTGTGCTCTTGGGACCCTCTGTCACCCTGTCAAGGGATTCAGCCTAGCCACATGGAGGGGCGAGGGGTTACGTGGAGGAGAATGGTAGCACCCAGCTGGCCTGAACATTCAGGCAGAAGAGTGAGGCCATCTGGAGTATCCAGCTCTGGTCCAGAAAGCTGATCCTGTCCACGCTACTGATCCATAAAATCACGAGTAAATACATGGCCATAGTTTAAAGCCTTCAGATTTTGGAAGACTTGGAGGCCAGCTTCCAGGCTAGCTGAAGTGTTCCCAGGTTCTGTCTTTATTGTACAGATACTGCTTACACCAGGGGAGTCCCAGGGGCAGTAGCGTTTCCTCCGTGGGCTCCACCAAGCGCCTCTCCATTGTGCTGTTTGTTCACCTTTCACCCACAAACGTGGAAGCTCTTATTTGTTAATCACTGCTTGAGAGAACCCGGAAGGCTGGCCTGGCTGCTGAGGAAATACTAAGCTATAAACCCCAAAGACCAAAAGACCATGGTTCGTTTAAGGGGACCGCACAAGCAAACGAAGGGAAAGGTTAAAAGCTCAAAGCTGTAACCCGCTGAGGCAGAATTAGGGAAGGGCCTGCGGAGAATTTTAGCCAAACAATAATAACAATCCTGTCAAAGAGATTCTATTAAAACATTTAAAAGATGATTTTTTTAAAAATTTCATGATATTTCAAATTTGGAAATTCACCAGACAACCTAGAAAAAGAAAGTGGTTTCTACTGAAATCCCACTTATTGGCATAGAGGGGAAATTTGTGAAAAATGTAAATTATAAAACCGAGAAGTAGCAGATTTGGAGGACAGATTCTGAGGTGAAAGGGGAATATTAAGGGAAGGTGGAGAAGACAGACACATTATCAAGGCGGTAGCTGTAGGAGACATCCCTGCCCGGGGCTGGCGGGCCATGATGGCCCCCTCCTTCCTGCCTTCCCTCATTTGGCTACGTGGTTTTATATCTGGAGTCGGACCAAAGCTCTGTGACTCAATGGGCGTGTCAGACGGCAGACCGCGTGAGTACAGCCCCTCTCCCAGCGGCTGCCGTGGAAACCTAGGCCCTGGTTTGTGAAATGGCAGAGCTCTGCTGAGTTATATGCACCTGAGGTCAGTGTGACCCCAATTAAAACACTTTCCCGAGTTATAGCTTCTCACTGACCCGATGGGTTGTGTGCTAATTGCACCCCATTCCAGGACAGTTTGTTCTATCCAAGTAAGATAAACAGTGCCTGCGCCCTAACAGTCCTGCCTGGCGCCATCATGCCAGGTGCTGGGCAGTATTTCATTAGATGCCTTCAAAGCACAAACTGCCCCCTAGTCCTTCCACGATTATATTCAATGAATACTGGATGTGCTTGGGGGCCTTTGTCTTTGCTGCCCTTAGCAGCTCTGACCAGGATCCAAGACTCATTTCTGCCTGTTCTTGAATTTGTCTTGTGCTGCTGTGGCTCACAGGCCAGGGCCCATGGCAGAGGTCCTGGTAATGTCCCCTTTCCTGTTCCCTACAAATTGTAAAGCTTTTTCTGCTGTGACAAAAAAGAAGAAAACTAAGTTTGCAGGTTAGAAAGGCTCACAGATACCCAGGGAGGATTATCCCCTTAAAAGATAAGTGTCTAGGCTAACCCTGGTGAAACTCCCCAGTTTTAAGGAGAAGAGGGAGGATTTTAGTTTCCATTAGCAGCTGCAGGTTCCTTAAAAGGGAAGAGAATTAGCTTAACGTTAGCTCTCGAGTTTCCAGCACCAGAGGCTGGAAGACAAGGCAGGGGGAAGAGGTTCCTGCTACTGACCAAGTTTAAAGTCAACCTGCATGAGAGCAAAGAAAATCACATTTATTTGGGGCCATTTGGAATCATAATATGGGAAAACATAGATTCAACCAGTCTTGAAAATGTGCTCTGTGGTTTTATAAAATGGCGGCTACATAGAGATTTAAGGGCATTGGAAATCACATCACTTGTTAGTCAGGAATTATGATTTCTGCTTGTAAATGTTAGGCTGTCCTAGAAGAAAGAGACTTGGAGTAGTCTCAGCCTTGGTAATGGGGAGGAAGGGGTCTGTGGTAGGGAAAATCAACAGAAGTTGGCAGCGTTTGAAGGTCAGCTCACATCTGGAGGTGGCGTGTTTGTAGCCCTGTCCAAAGGTTCGCTGTGGATGAGTCTGAAATTTGAGTAACAGTGGCCTCTGACTCTATTTTAAGTGGCCGGAACCAAGGCTACTTCGTTTTTATCTTTTCCTTGACATTTGCCCCCCTTTGCATCAAAAATTTTCCACAGGAAAGCATTAATGATCGATCTAAGAATTAGAGACCACATTACTGGGATGGATCTGTCCCAGGAAGTCATGTTCCCTGTCACAGGGATGGATTTGTCCTAGCAAGTCCTGTCCCTTTTCTGGAGGTGTATTTGGCAGCAGTGCCGACAGAAGCAAGTTTTGTATATATGTTATCTCTTCTGGATATACCTTTCATTGGGATTCTGACACAATCACATTTTGTCCTTCTAATGAAAGAGGGTAAACATTTTACATCAATCTTTTTCAAACAACAAGGCAACCATGACATAAAGAAAGCCTGTAAGGTCCGGGGATGTAGCTCAGTGGTTCCGCTGCCTGCCTCACAAGTGCAAGGATCTGAGTTCATTCCCGGTACCAAAAAAAAAAAAAAAAAAAAAAAAAAACCCAGAGTTCAAACAGGAGAGGAAATTATAAAG